CCTAGGATCTGATGCTGTTGCCTATTTGAATGTTCTAATCTCCATTAACTTTATTTTTAAACTGTGTTGTTCCTTTGTTGTTGTGGTATTGTTTTTTCTACATTTTAATTATTTCCTGATTTACGTTCGCTTTGCTTTTTGTACTATAATGCAGTGGTCCCCAACCCCCGGTCCGCGGACCGGTGCCGGGCCGTGGAGTACCTGGCACCGGGCCGCGCAGCGGCCGGGGGCCATGATCGCTGCAGCGGCCGGGGGCCATATTTGCAACTTTGTAGTCCTCATGAATGCGCCCTTTCTCTGCCCCCCCGCCGCCCCAGATGTGTGGGGCTGGGGGGGCTGGGGGGGCGAGGGGAGGCCCGATCTCCCCCCCCCGCCCTGCGGAAAGGGCGCCCAGGATGGCCGCCTTCCCACCCGCCAGTCCGGAAGGCCGAGGGAGGCTCGTCTGACTGGTCCGCGGCGATAAAAAGGTTGGGGACCACTGCTATAATGCATGATAGTATTTAATGTTTATTTTTAATTCTTGTATTTTTTATTATTATTAATTAAAAGCAGAACTTCTTTAAGTGGAAAAACTAGAGGTGAGTGGACAGGCTTGATGTAGTTGGACACAGGAAAGGGTCCACATGGAAATCCCTTCACCAATGTCTCTTATACATATTTTTGTATATATTTTTACATATTTTTGTTACACCACCTCTAAACTTGGAACTGGTAAGGCATCATCCCATAAGATTTACCGGTAGGGTTCCGCCTTCAAAATTCTCAAGAAAAGTCAACTGTTCCCTTGAATTACAACCTTCCAAATTTTGACTGCCGTTGTTCTTCAACTCCATAACAGTACCAGGAGTAGAGGAAGCATCATTCGTGAGAATCTGCAACAGAAAGATTTTACATTAATTCATTTTGAAAGAGAACACAGTCCCAAAGGTGGCTTTTTGAAGAGGCACCTGGACTTTCTGGTTTTTCTTTAAAGACATTTCGCTTCTCATCCAAGAAGCTTCTTCAGCTCTTAGAAGCTTCTTGGATGAGAAGCAAAACGGCTTCAAAGAAAAACCAGAAAGTCCAGGTGCCTCTTCAAAAACCACCTTTGGGACAACTGGATGATTGAGAATCTCCATAGACAGAAGCTTCACAGTAGAATCTGACTTCTGAGAAGCCTGCAAGGCTCATGTCTCTCAGATGGTTAAATATGGAGCTAGTCAGATACAGGCTTCACTGTCTTCATGCTATACTTGACAATACATCATGTCAGTACATGTACAGTACAAATAAGACAGTTGTTCTGACCGAGACACTGCATTACATAGAGAAATGACTTCTCATAAATCTTACCAATACAGAAGCAACCTGCCTAACAATATATTTATTAGAGGTGAGCAAACACCTATATTCTAAGGCCAAAATGTGATTCAGACCAGAGCAAACATGCCCCACACCTATCAGGAATGTTGTAAACCTTTGCCCAGCATCACATAAAAATGACAAACTGTGTGCAACCATAGACACATCAAATCATATTTTACCATTTAAATCTTAATTTCTATGTAGCTTAACAATTCTGTATCCTTAACAATTCTTTAAAAAAACAAATACTTTTCTTTCAAAAAAGCCCAGAATGATATCCAATTGGAGAAGTATGAATAGATACAATTTCATCAATTCTAAAAGTAAACTGCTACATCCTTCTATGCAAACCAATTATGCTTCCAACATTTAATCACAAGGTACTTACAGTCCAGTGGTGGGTTCTGGCGGCGTCCACATGGATGCGTGCAGCATGCACATGCATCTTAGCAAGCCTCCGCAATGCTCCAGCTACTCAGCAGAGCGTCATGCAGGCACTGTATGCGCCAAAGACTTAAAAGACCGGTAAGGAGCTTGGGAGGGTAGGTGGACCCTCTGGAGCACCGTACCGGAACAGTATCCGGTGCTCCAGGCAGGCTCCGGTATGCCCTTACTGGGGCGTACCACCTGCAATCAACCACTATTACAGTCATAATAGTGCACTTACCTTTTCTATTTCATATTCAGCAGCATGAAAGCCGGAATCCAGTGTAAGGCAATGTTGAAATTGCAGCAGGGCCTCTGGTTGGTTCCCTAAGTCCAAGAGCACTTTCCCTTTTCTAAAAAAGCCCTGAAAAGAAACATGAAACACATTTCAGCTGCCTTCCTGAACTGACACAACATTCTGTAGCAGCTGCAGATTGCTTTGCATAATGCCAATGACAGCAGGTTTACTCAATCAGTCAATCAAGTATATATTCCTAAGTGTAGCAGGTGTGTCAAACTGGTGGCCCAAGGGTCGAATGCATCACAGAGGCCACGCCCACCCCGGCTCCACAAATGCAAAAAATGTTGAGATACATCATGTGACGTGATCAAGTTTGATACCTGTGGTGTAGACTCTTGATGAACAGGCAAGCTACTACTTAAATCCTCCTCCCCATGATCGGCAGAACCAAAGCATCACCCAGCTATTAGGGTGGGCTAGTAGCTATAGTTAGGCTATTTCCTGTAGCCTAACTTCTCATTTTTCAACAGAGCAACAGTGAAATACTGTATTTTTCAGAGTATAAGACGCACCAAGGTTTCGAAGAGGCATTTTTTAAAAAAACAAAAGTTTTTGCACTCTGCAAATCTCCCAAAAACAGGCCCGTTTTTTTCCCCCAAAAAAGGCCTGACTAGCCGTTAGGGGGCTTGTAGAGTGCTCCTGGGGGGTGCCCCCCCAAAAAACTGAGCAAAAAACACTCCACTGTTTGTGAAAACGGGCCCGTTTTTTGTAAAAAAAAAAAAAAATTCATGCATAGCCTTTAGGAGGCTTATAGAGTGAGTGCTCCTGGGGGCTGGGGTGACAAAATTGAGCAAAAAACGGCCTGTTTTTCATTCATTTCTGCCTTCCCCAGCCCCCAGGAGCTCTCTGAAAGCCTTCTGCAGGCTCTGCACGGCCATTTTTGCAAAGGGGGCGGGGTTTTGGGAGGCAAAAAATGTTGTATTTAGTGTATAAGATGCACCCAGATTTTCAGCCTCTTTTTTGAGGGAAAAAGGTGTGTCTTATACTCCAAAAAATACGGTATGTTGCTGGAGCAATGAAATGGCAATTAGGATAGGGATCATTTTCCGCATCAACTTCCTCAATCCCTGTGAAGCAAGAAAAATAAGAGCAGGAAAACAGTGATGTCACTTGGAAAATCTATGAGACAAACGGTAAAGTTTTTTACCATTTACCACCATTTCTGAGAATGGATGCTATATGGAGTTAATGCACCCCCAGGTGCAAAAAAAGTATATCCAAAGTGTAGACTCTTAATTCATCTAGCTCAGAACTATCTCTACCAAAGAATGTGTAATGACCAATGTGTTGGTTTATATACTAGCTGATAACCCAGCATTGCTCAGGTATTTATTTATCCTAATGCTCTATTAGAAAGGAAAAGTCTTGAATTTGGCAACAATTAAATTAGTTACAAATGTTTTCCATGTGCTCCCAGAAGCATCAAGGAAAGTGAGAGCACCCTTGTGGAGTACTGTGAAGCCATTACCATGGTAACTCCACTGAGCTGTATAGTAGAAACCATTTTATGGCAGTACAGTAGAAGCTATTTCAAGGCACAACAGGCTGTATCTTAACAGAGCACACATCCCGAGGGGTATTAAGGGTGTCTTACCCCCACAGTATTTCTAGACAGTAAGTCATCTATGTACCAAGTTCAGTTGAAATTGCTCGAGGGGTTCCAGAGTTATGCTGGAACATACACACATACACACACAGCCATTTAGATATATATAGTTATCAATATATAAACAAACATACGCACTCCCATACCAGAGAGAGTTTCACTGAACATCTTTATTTGGATTACACAGATATTAAGAATGCTGGTTAGATATATTAGAATAGAACTGAGGGGACCCAAGAAAATATTCTTTAAGGAGGTTAGTATGACTCAAAGGAAACTTTATTTTTAGTTTCAACAAGTGGCAGCACCTGATCAACCTACTCTGAGCACAGAACTTGGGGTCTTAAAAAATCTACTGTAAAACAGGATGAAGGGGAAGAGCATATTCATCAGGGAAGTATGAAATAGTTTCAATTAGTGCAACAATACAACTTCCCCACTTCTTTAATATGTGCAATTAGTGCAACAATACAACTTCCCCACTTCTTTAATATGAAGAAAATAAAGGGCTAAAACAAAAGAAAACTATCTGAAAATGCAAATAAAATTGGCTTTCTTCAAAATAAAAATATTCCACATGTATTACCATAAACCTTTCTTGAAAATGTTCATACAAAAAATGTAGCAAAATGACAATCACGCTGATTCTGCTCTTGCTTCTTCACCCTCATAGGCTGAAGAGCTTTTTCAACAGAACCTAAAAGAACAAGTCTGGCAAGTGTTAGCATATAATCCTTATTTCCAAAATTGTGCTCAAATTGTGATCATCTCCCCCACCCCCCCAAAAAGCAGTGCTTTGATTGTTGTAAAAAAAAATGGTTAGCAACTATCATATTTGTGCATGTACCTTCAGAAAGGGTTAAAGTAATTATTTGGGAATACACAAATATCGAAAGACAGAAAAGAAGTTTTAAGACATTAGGAGAACATATCAGACAAAGTTTGAACATACGGCCAATTGAAGAATGTTAAGTGCTCCAAAATAGCATTTTCAAATTACTAATCATGATGATGCCAAACATTAATCATACATACATTAATCTACAATGCAAGCTCTCCCTTTTAAAGCTGCATTGTAATATCTCTCCAGACAAAATATGCAAGGGGACGAATTTGGCCTTTTAAAAATATACAATCAAAATATACAACCAAACATACAGAAGTTAAAATAACAGAGTTACATAATATCCAATAAAAACCTATTCATACTTGCACTAATTATACGAGGGGAAGCAATCAGATCCACAAATCTGAAACTATTATAGCAGTGGTATAAAGTTGGACTACAATTCTAGAAATATCTTAATCATTTAATAGATAGCACACAGTCATCATCTGAAGTTGGTCTGAATAGTTTGTAATTAAGATGAAAGATTATCTCTGCTAAACATGGTAGATAAGATATTTCAGAAGTACATGGGCTATTATCTCAGTTTCAAAGTCTATCTAAATACACAGATGGTCTTGGTAAGGAATACCGGCTTCAGACCTGGTTACAGCACAGAAACCGCTTTGGTCGCATTGACCGATGATCTCTGGAGGGCCAGAGATGGA